AAAAAAAAAAAAAAAAAAAAAAAAGAAAAGTGATGTTTCGGAGCGATGTCCTCATTTATTTTTTCATTATCCATCGCTGTCACCACTCGCCATGGCGCCACCATGTCACCACCACGGCGCCACCATGTCACCATCATGTCTCCACGACGCGGCTGGAACTGAATTCGCCAGGTAGCAAGGAAAGGGATGGCCCAGTATTTAATGGCTTCTTTTTTTCTTCCATGGCAAGAACTAACACAGGATAGTTTATTCATAGTATCTTCCGTGGCAATTAGCATCAACTATAAGCAGAAGTGGGCAACCCTTTAAAAATTTTTTTAAAAAATCAGCAAAACAATTCTAATCTACAAATTGAGCTAAAATTGAATTTTGTTTAAAAATTGGTTGGATAAAAACAGTATGGGAAGGATCTAATAGATTATTTATAAATTAGGAAACAAATATGGAGAAGCAGTGATAGTTTTAAACAGTTAATTTAAAAAAAAAAAAAAAACAACCTTGAAAATCTGTGTAAAAGAGGTAAAACAAAGGGAGAAGAGACAGTTTTTGTTAGCAAGAAATTAGCGTGAACATCAAGTTGAAAACCTGCACTTGTCACCATCGAGTTGAAAACCTACACTTGTCTACATCAATTTGAAAACCTGCATTTGTCAACATCAAGCCTAGTTGAAAACCTGCACTTGTCAACATCAAGTTGAAAACCTGCACTTGTCATCATCAAGTTGAAAACCTGCACTTGTCATCATCAAGTTGAAAACCTGCACTTGTCATCATCAAGTTGAAAACCTGCTCTTGTCACCAGGAGAATGACCGAACACAACTGCACGACTTCTGTAAGTTTTAGTCATAATCAAAACTACGTCTTTCTCATTCAACAACGTCTTTCTTATTCACCCATGCCTATGTCTTTCTTATTCACCCATGCCTATGTCTTTCTTATTCACCCATGCCTATGTCTTTCTTATTCACCCATGCCTATGTCTTTCTTTTTTCAACTACGTCTTTCTTGTTCACCTTTGTCTTTCTTATTCAACTACGAATGTCTTTCTTATTCAACAATTTCTTTCTTATTCATAAACTTCCCGATTGCACGATGCACTGCACTTCACTGCCTGAGATGTACACACTATTGTTTGACTAGCTACATATTTTTTAACAACCCCCAGGCAGGAGCTCCGTTGTGGTAAACAACATCCGCCATTTGGTTGTTGTTTTATTTTTCGGCTTTGGTTTGTAAACGTAACTCTCAATAAAGGATTTATAAATAAAGAAATAAAAATACGATTGTTGCATCCATTCATCAGCATACAAGTACACGCTCACGTGCTCACAAACCCAGGGCCATCTTATCAGCAGCGGAGGCCCTGGGCACAGTAATGGACTGGGGCCCATAAGCCTCTATATACTCAGGGCCGTGCTAAAAAGGAGGCGAGAGGGCCAACCACCCCAGTCGCCAATATCAGGGGGAGGCAAAATCGTCTTAAGTTAGGTCCTTAATAGTGAATTAAAAGATAAAGCCCCATGTTCTTCCCATAGACAAGGGCCTTCAGACGGCACTGGCTTGGAGTTAACCAAGATGTTCATTTTGCAAGTTTACACGTTTTCCTTGTCACATCTGCAGCTCTTTTTCTCTTCCGTGCTCCACTCCTATAACTACGTGTCATTTCCGCGTAAAGGTTATACACCTTAGGAAGCATATAAATTTATTCTAAATACTTTTATTGTAATAGCGGCGATCCGTTCAAAAGATAAATTTAAAAATAAAATAAGCATAATTATTTTTAACTAAGTATGTGTCTGTCTTTTCAAGCTCAGAAGTGCCCCGTTATAAAAACGAACATGAGAGAAATGATGGTTATGATGTAATTATTAAACTAATCGATCTCTGTGTTTGATCTGTGAAAGATGAACATGTCTTGATATTTTAAGAGTGACTACAAATTATAGTTATACCCAAATACCTATATATTTCTGCTTTCAATCCAGGCCTAGGGTGACAGTTGGGTTCTATTTATCATCTAAATATGTCTTCCAGATACAAAAAACAATATGTAATATATTTTTCAGTTTAGAAAATATTAAGTTATTTGTTTATTTTAGTAAAAAATTACTTTTAAAAAGAACAATTCATAGGTGACCAAATTCCATTATACAATGCTAATTAACTTCAGTCGTACTTTAACTGGTTTAAGAATATGCTTTTCTCTACTTTTTTTCACGACTGAGCAGTGGCGTGGATACGGTTATTACCGCCCGGGGCCAACATCTATGTCTAACATGTTTGTAAACAGACATTATTTCCTTTTTTTTTTTTTCCCGATTCAAATCTGCGAAAGGTAAAAACTGGTTGGCGAGAGTTATTCCCCTTCAACAGCTTTATAATGATCCAACTTTGATTCGCATTTATAATATTAATTTTCGAATGTGCTGAAATATATCTTGGGTTAAAATTGGGAAATTAGGACTTTTAAATACAATTAAATTGTCAAAATTTTTCAATATTCATTACAAATATGTAACGCAGGATGCCTCTATTAGAGTGAGTCTCCTTGAAGCGTGCCCCCCTCCCTCC